CAGGAATTCTTTTGCTCTCTGCTTCTGCAGTTTTAGAGAGTCCTTTTCCACAAAAGGAACTCTTTTACTGAATTGGAAGAAGGAAAATTTGTGGAAATGTAGTAGATCTGTTTTACTGACTACTTAAATGTATCATCTCAGGTGTAACCATGTTTTGCAGAAGCATCAGTATTTCTTCTGGGAGTTTTTTAAGCTGTGGAGTTTCAGTATTTAAAAAGCCAGCACTTATTTTTACCTTGAACACAGAGAATACTTAGGTGCATTAATCCCCACATCAGTAATGTAGCTGGCTCACCTGAGTCTATCCCTACCACGGAAACACCAGGGCTGTTGGTGCATTGTTTCAGTTAATTTTTTTTTTTTTCCTGTGTTTGGACTTTAAGAGTCTGGTTCCATGTACTTGAGAGATAACTATTCATGAAACTATACTAAATAGTATCTCTTGAACTTCTTAAGTTTAACCACCAGTTTTTTTCATTTGTATAATTTCAGACTTTCTGAATTCTGAAGAAAAACTCAATTCCTTCAAGGTGTCTAGAAATCAGAAGATATTTAATGCTTTTTTAAATTACGGGGAAGAAATATATTTTCTGAATCCTATACTGGCATTTTATTTATTTGATGGTTTAATATTTTGCAACACCAATGTGAAATGAGACTGTTGCATAGTTACTTTATTGGAAACCCCAGTATCTTGTGTCTTTACAGAAGGGTGCCCAAGAATGGGAGCTGCTAGTCTTCCTGGACATGCTAATGTGGGGAATTGATTAGTTTTACAAAAGGGTCTAACCTTGTTTCCCAATAAAGGTGACTCGTTGTGTGGGTTTCCTGCTGCTAAACACCTCTAGTACTTTTTTCTAATTCTTTGTGGAGACAAAAAAGGAGGAACGAGAAAATTTGTATGTGAAACACTACATGGATTCTGAATTACTGTATTTAAATGACTAAGATGTTCAAAGAGATGTATGGACTGATTCAGCAGATGGAAAAATTGAGTTCAGATTTCCAGTTCTGGTGTCTGGATTTTGTATCTATTAAAACATTTGACATGCTATAATTAACCACTGGATGTCACTCTTGCTTAACTTGTATGTTGGTTGCTGCAGATGTGTGGTATACAACTGTTCATTTCTCAATTAAGAGGTGTGTTAATATTGTAGATATTCATATCAAACATCTTCAGATAGTGCATTCAGTTTTAAAAAATTATTAGCACCTGGGGAAGCATGATAGGTGTCCGTTCACTAATCCTGAAGAATTGTCATTAATTCTGTCAGGAAAAAAATAACAGACAAATAAATACTGTTTGACATTTGCTTTGAAGTTCTACAGTTCTTATATGGTCTAACGGTTAAGCGAAGCTGAGCTTTTTCCAAGGCGGGTCGCAAAGGTTAAGTGCCTGCATTCGGTAGAGCATATCTGCACATGCACAACTCAGATGTACTGTGTAGGCTCAGCATTTCCCAGAATCACAGAGCTGGTGCACTCAGGTGGGTCCTTGCTCATTCCAGAACAGGAAAGGCAGCTGCCAAGACAGTTCATGCAGACTGCTTTCCTGGGGGTAGCTCGAGATTGGATAGTGATGGTTGTTGGAAAGATAAATTGTTCTGGCATCAAAGACTTACAGACAATCAGTTTTCTTCCAGGGGGCAACAATAGACTTGACTGTGCATGTATAGTACACTTACTCTAAAATGGGGTGTGACACATGGGGGAAATGGCAAGTAGGAGTCCTGCTTCTGGAACAGTCTGAACCTGTTCCTAAGAGGCTTTGAATTGTCCTGTGAAGTCTGAAGGGCACATTACTGCAGTGAGTGAAGCATTTGGGTATTACAAAATGTGAAAGGGTAAGTCTACAAATTTGTCAATTATACTTACTCTGCAATGAAATTTTACATGGCTGTGAAGAAGTATCTCAGGTCAGACTATAAATCCTTTCTGAAAATAAGTGAAATGACTAAATAGTGATTGCCTAGCAGTGAAATTACTTTTTCCTCCTCTTATGCTTTCCTTTGCTCTTTATTTCTCTAGTAGACCGGATGAAGAAGAAGAACGGGTAGCTAGAAAGAGAGAGGAACGAAGACTACAGTCTCTTCAGAGGTAGGTCTTGACAGCTGGATATATAGCTATACACTTTCTGGTGCTATAGGAGTATTCTACCTTTCTAAGGAGTACACAGAGTACTAAACTAAGAGGCATGGTGGAGTTAGGCATGACAATATTTGGGTTTTGCAAAACAGGGCTTATTGTGAGATTTGCAAACCTGATTAGGAGCCTGTATTTCCATAAGTGAACAGAGTGAACAGGTTGGTGCTCACTGTGGCATGTACCATGAGTACTCTGTGCCAGCCAAGACCAAACAGGAGGGATGTGTCTGAGGTCTTACTAGTCTCTCCTGGACTGATGCCTGTCTGTGGCATGAGTTAATGCGTAAGTGAGGCTGGGATTCAGAGGTGAAAATCACTTTTTGGATTCATTTGTTAACTGGTTCTTTTTCTTTTAAAATCTGGCTGGGAAAGGTAGAGAAGTTGATAGTGAGGTACCTGTTAGAAATTTGGCTCAGATCTCACTTTAGACTTAATTTTACATTTCCATCCTTTCTGTTAAAGCTGTAGCAGTGTAGAAAGAACTGCAAGAGTCAGCAGTGATACAGTGCTTCTCAGTGAGAACAGTATTCCTTCAGATGCAGGTTTTTATAGCTTAGTTCTCCAGTAACTCTTCATGGTTTTTTACATTATTCTTCAGATAAACAGTTTTTATAGGTAGTACCCTGGTACAAGCTCAATGTACCTTTTGAATCATAATTCCTTTCATGGTCTTTATATTGGAGATTCACAGTGGATTAGCTTCAGCAAGACCAGAGGAGAGTCCTAACCAAAGTAATGCTAGGCTTGGAGCTGTCAGGTGGGTTTGAATCCCCACAGACTGACAAGGAAATTAATCTTAGGTTTGCCACTTCCTGGTTATGTTCTCTAAATACTTGGCTGCCAAGTAACAGGTGGGCACCTTTGCTGCCTTGCTGATGCTTGCTATTTTCTCCTGAACTTGGATTGATTGTTAATATGAGCAGGCACTGCAGGGAGCAAGGCACGCTCCCAGATGAGATCCCCTGTGGAGCTTTTGCATGAAGACATTAAACTTCTGTGTTTCAAATGTGCATAGGAAAACAAGGCAGGTAGGCAAACATGCTTGGTTTGCTCAAACATGCTATGTTTCTGACAAAAGTGGGAGCCAATAAGGTGGTCTTACAGAGGTATCTACTGTCACTCATATCTGACTGGCAGGAGCTGGGACAATCGCTTGTCTTAACTCCCTGCAAATCTATTTTCTGGTTCTGAACTGCCAGGTTATAAATGAATACAGCAACTCTTTGCCCTGAATCTGACAATGGTTATGGCTCTGAAGTGGGCACTGTGATAGTAGGAAGCAGAATACATTCTGTTGTAATGGGTTAAATTGATGTGTCCTTTAGCCTTGTACAAAGTTCCTAAACTTGTTGGCAATAGAAAGAATTAAAATAGGATACAATGAGGATGTTTAACAAAGAATTTTTCAGAGCTTGACTTAGTGCAAAGCTTGAATGATTAGGTTTGGTTTTGTGACACTTTTTTTAGAGCTGTTATATACTGGCAGTTTAATATATCCTATTTTAGTTTTCTACTAGCTGTATAATACAGTTTAGTAGCATTTAAATTTACCAAGTTGTTCTACACAAATTTTATTTTTAACAGCACAGACTTACTGTTGCAGTAATGTGCATTTTGCATTTGTACTTGTTTAGGAAAGTATAAGCTTAAAAGTGACTTTCTACAGAGGGAAGGTGAATTAGATGTCTTCTAATGTAGTTGAGCTGAAACTACTGTTTTCAAAATGTATGTTTTTAAGTGTAATGGTGCCACTAATTTAACCCATCAGATGGTGTGTAAAGGCATTCTACTTCTGATGTAACTGCAAGCTGCTGATGCAAAGAGCGTTCTTTCTTTTCTTTTGTGCCCAAGGCATAACATTCCTTAGCTCTCTGATATGCCAAATTTTTTTTGCAGAAAGCTCTTCACATTTCTATGCGGTTTTTGAGTTTGTGGTTTTTCTATTCTATTGGATGAGTTCAGTGAATGGTCTCAGCATGTATCCATAAGACTGCTGGGATCCACAGGATGCAAGGACAGCATGAATCCAGGGATGGAAGAAAAGTAAAGAAAGAACTTATTTGGAGGCAGAATAGACAGCACTACTTCCCCTTTCACTATTGCCAGGTAGTGTCAGACTTTATCCAAGAAGAGAATGGATGCAATTTTGTTTTCATAAACATCTTGATTTGTGAGCTGAAAGTGTCATACTTGAATGTGCACAGAATAGTAGGAAATAGGTGGCCAATTTAGGAGCTATGCTCATGCATAGTTGTACCGCACACTTTCTCAGGTAAGTGATGTTGAAGATTTGCAATGGATCAGAGAAAAGGGAAATTTTCCACCTGTTAATCTACTTCTAACTAGTTACAGCACTGTAGGCAGAGTGTTAAGTGTGAAGGTGATGTTTCTGCTGTACTGCTATTGTTCTCTTCTAAAGAGAAGGAATCCTGTGAGGAATATCAACATTTTGTTGTATGCCAAAACCATGTGCATTGTTGTGGTGAAATGTACATCCTTAATATTATGCTACATTGTTTAAACTAATACTTACCTATTTTTGTTAAAAAGCAAAGGCTCATGACCAGCTGCATAAGGGATAATTGTATACCATAACCTTTCCACTGTGATTTGTATATCAACTTTAAATTCTTGGTACAGTTAATCTGTAGGAAGTCTGATACTTCTGGAGTGTAGGGTTTGCTGTGCACACACAGAGCAAGTGGTGTTGCACCAGGCAGTTAGCAATGAAGAGTTAAGATGAACTCTGTTCTTGAATTAAGCCTAGGAACAAGGATTGCTGGGAGCAGACTACTCTGCCAGAATGATTGTGGCAGCCTTAGAGCAGCAGCCCTCTTTCCTAGCTTGTCTCAGGAGTATGTCTGGAACAGAGAAACTGTTCTAACTGCAGGACAGAGCTTAGCAGCAGCCCTGGGGTATTTCCCGTGTTCTGAACATGTGTACCTATTGTGTGTGTGCTGGGGGGTCATGGGAAAACATGAGGAGGAGGCCACTTCCAGCAATGAGAACACCTCACCCTACACGCTGCTTGCTTCCTCTAAGTCCTTAGGAGGATGAATTGCTAGTAGCAGGCTGTAGAACAGATTGTCTCAACAAGCCATTTTTGACCAGCAAGCTGCAGAGGAAAACACTGTGTTGTACTGTGTGTGGTCTTTCCTTTCTACAGCCTGTGAAGTTTTCACATAGTTTCTGAAAACAGCTGGATAGGTATTTGGGTAAATAGCATGGGAGGAAAATAGGCACAGCATTGAGCTTGTATCTGACTGTTTTATTTTCTCCTGTCTGCTTTTTTTGTGGGATACAGCTTCTTCATATACAGGTGTTCAGATCAGTTGGCAATGGAAGGAGAACAGGACTAGCCTGAGTTTCCTTTCATGATTCCCCATTAGTGAATGGTACAAACAAAGGAGGCCCAAGATGCATAGTGTGTGATGATTTTTTTTTTTTTTTGGTGAGCTTCAATATAATTGAAGCACCTAGTAATTTCTGGCTTTTCAAGTACACAGTAAAAGTCTGCATTGTGAGTTTAAAACTTGTCTTATAATACAGTTTATTATGGATACCTAGGAAGTGTCTTCTCGGAATACCTAGATGGCTGCTAGAATGAAGAGGACGGGTAATGACATTGGCCCTCTGCTTGTCTTTGCAAGGTGAAACTAGCTGTCACTTCACTGAGAAGGTTGAAAATCACTGGCAATATCTAGAGTTTGCACTTACAGTGGTGGGCAGGAGGGGAAGGAAACGTGGAGTTCAGTTTTTGACTAATACTGAAGTAAAACAGATCTTATTACATAGCTTTAGTCCTTTATTTGACTTCATGTCATCTCTAACATGAAAAATAATTTTTAAACATAGCATCAAGTAGTGAGTCTTTTTCTGTACACTCATAGAATTATTTACAGCTGCAAATACATGGTACGTTTATGTTAGATTTATATAATCTATAAACCATGTTTTATATGTTAGAAGCTTATAAACCAATGAAAAACAATGAGATCTTAAATGTGATAAACTGCCAAGTCTAATTTGGTAGTGTACTGGTAAGGGAGAACAAGGAGGGGGGCCAGGGAAAGAAAGGACTGCAGTTTGTTTGTGAAGAACCAGGTAGGGAAAACTATGATGTGAATTGTTAGTATTCGGAGAAATACTTTATCAGCTTACAGCAGTGGGAACAAGTTGCATGAAGAGCCAAGAATTTAGGATACAGAAGATGGAGTAATAGCAGTAGTATTAAGAAACAGAACCAACTCGGAAGCCTGTAAAGTGATTTCAGTTGATCATAATGTAAGACATGAATGGTGCAGTAAGCCACCTCTGAGTGGGTGATTCAGTGACTGCCTGTTCAGAATTGTGTCTGATTCCTCTAAGCTAATATGTACCTAAGCCCTATTTACTGTATAAGGATTTAGTCATGGGTGATACGATGCAGTTGTGGCTGCCTGTCAAAGTTTGAATGTTTCGCGGATGTTAATGGTTTTACCCTTCAAACTTAAACAATGTAAGGATTTTAGATGTTTCGTGGCTTGTTTTGAGTAGCCTAGGGGAGTATCCTAAAGTGTTTCTGAGGTTTAAAGCATACACAGCCTGATTTTTTCCCTCCCTCCTACTTACCCTTCTTGTGCAGATATGTAGTGTTTTCTGTGTTCAGGGCAGATCGAGACTGACTGATGAAGTACTGGTATTTCAGTTGGAGCTGCAGCAGCGGGTCTCCATTATTTCAAACAGGGTATGCAAAACAGTGAAGAGCATGGCATTAGTACCACCAGTTGAAAAAAAAAATGGTTTGAGGTCACATGATATCACATGGAAACTATACAGAAATAAGGTCTGGCTTTATACAGAAGGGTGCTTTAAGCAGAATCTCTGTTCTCTTTCCTGAGATCCCTTGCCTCATGTAATGTCTTCCTCTTAATGCAACGCACACAGCAGGA